AGCAATCTGCTCGGGAGCTTTTGTTCGCTGCAAGCTTTCGGTACAGCTTTGCAGGACGAGAGTGAAATGGCGGCCTCCCAATCTCCGCCCCAGAGGAGCCGAGAACTCGGGGCCCCACTCCTCAGTGCACCCCCAGAGAAAAGCAGTCACTCCTGTCTCTCCGGTCTCCGGCCGCACTCCGTGCTCAACCGGCCTGTGACCATGCGTTTCTATCCCTGGCACCCGACTCGGTGTGGAGTCTCCAAACCCAGCAGATCCCTGCAGTGCGCTACTGCACTGCTCCTCCCAGGGAAGGAAGGTGAGTCTCCCCGGATCTGCCGCTTGTTGGGTCCCTGCTGGAGGAACAGTGGCCCGACTGTGCCGTGGATCACGGTTTATGACAACCCCAAGGTGAGCGCCCGCACCTCAGCTCTGTCTCTGCAGCCAGCTTCCCTGCTCCAATCCCTGGGCACTCTGCTGCACTCAGGCATCCCCGGTCTGTGACCCCGAGGGCCTTGAGACCACACTGTCCCACGTGGGTTCCACCCCCAGCTTAGCCACCAGAGTGACGTCCCTCAGCGGAGCAGACTTCTGAAAGTTCTGATTTTGTGCTCGGCGGCTCTATCACTTGCTAGAAGCGGCTGACGGAGGCCCCTCCCCCGCCGTCTATCCTCCCAAATATCACCTCGGATTCACTTCTCTGCATGTCCTACCTTCCAGAAAGTGGTCGCTTTTCTGTTCAGAGTTGTTGCTATTCTTTTCTTCGATCTCCTGTTCAGTTTGTAGGTGTTCAGAATGGTTTGATCCCTATCCAGCTGAATTCCTGAGACCAGACAAAATCCAGGTCTCCTACTCCTCCGCCATCTTGCTCCGCCTATCTCCAGCGTACATTTTTAATGAGGGATTGTTTGCCGCAGATAGATGAAGAGAGGAGAAAAGTCGTAAATCATGTCACTTTAGAAGCTCTGGAAGGCCTGTAAAGACCATATGGCACCAGAAATATTGCTGTGGCCATTTCTGAAAAATACTACCTGTTTCATAGTCTTACTTTGATATTTAATTTTTAAATTTTAGTTAAAACACTTGTTACACATCATGAGTCACAAAATTTATTATCTGTAAAAGCCTTCAATTGTGGATTTTCAAAACAGGATTACTACATAGGAACGATATTTAATGATTAATTTTCTTTTTAATCTCCTAATAGCATATATTAATATTACCTTTGTTTGTTAAGTATCCTCTTAGCTCTTCATTTTATACATATAGAAACGAAGTCCAGTGATCCTAAATGATCTGTCCAAGGCCAAGAACCCAAAGAATCCTTAGCAAAATGATGGAAGGTTCCTACATAAAATATTCTAAAAATAATAAACTTACAGCCCCTGATACAAAATATTGATTTGTTTCTCAAGGCTGATGTTCTGTAGGGTGTTAACATGCTCAGCAAATGGGGATTCTCTGGTCAAATTGGTTTGTAAATGTTGGGTTAAATAAAGACTCTCAGGCACCTTTACTATACTAAGAAGCTTATGAACCTCCAAGAGGAGAAATATAATAGGTAGTTTTGCAAACTTATTTGACCACAGAAGTAATTTCCCACACATAGAATGTAGTATAAGTGGTAAATGATGTCTTCAACTGTTTCCTAGAATTTTGTCTTGCTTTTTAGAACTTATCTCAATGTCACCACATGCATCTTTTAAAAATTTTATCTGGTTATATCGCCCTTCAACTTCTATCTCTTTAGCGTTCCCTTCTGCCATCAGAGTGAAAGCCCACTCTGGCATGGTATAGAAGGTCCTCAATAACCTGTACAGACCAGATCTTACCACTCCTCACCTGGGGCTTTATGTTCTTAAGCTGTGGTTTTAAATCCTCTTATTATTCCTGGGTACCTGAGATGTACCACAAACTCAAATCCAGTAATAGTGGGTGCAGGGTGGTGTAGAGTTCCTTAGGAGGTGTATCTGACTCTCTAGTGATCTCTGGAAGTAGGCCTGCATAGATATAGCTTAAGAAATGAACTTTAAAAAAATTTTTTAAAAGATTTATTTATTTATTTGAGAGAGAGAGAGAGCACGTGCACACGCAAGCATGAGCGGGGGAAGGGGCAGACTGAGAAGCAGACTCTCTGATGAGCAGGGACGTGACATGAGACTCAATCCCAGGACCCTGGGATCATGACTCAAGCTGAAGGCAGACGCTTAACTGACTGAGCCACCCAGGTGCCCAAAATGAACTTTTTTTAAAAAAAGATTTTATTTGTGAGAGAAACAGATAGGGCACAAGCAGGGGGAGGGGGACAGGGAGAAGCAGACTCCCCACTGAGCAGGGAGGCCAATGAGGGGCTCGATCCCAGGACCCGGGGATCATGACCTGAGCCGAAGGCAGACGCTTAACTGACTAAGCCACTCAGGCACCCCTGAACTTTTTTTTTTTTTAACAACCTTTTAAAAATTTAAAAACCATTCTGAGTTCATAGGAGGCACAAAAACAGACAAAGGCCTGCACGTGACCCACTGGCCAGAGTTTGCTAACTCCTGGATGAGGGGAAAGCATAATCCAGAACATCTAAGACTGCCCACAAGGAGTATTGCTGCAGAACATGGAAGGAGAATGAAGGATGTCCATTCGTAGAGACTATGAAGGCTAGGACAAGATGGCACAAGGGGCAGCTAAGAGAAAGCTGAGGGATGGCAGTGGAACAACCAGGCAGCACAAGCAGGCCCACACCTCTCTCCCCATTTGAGACCAGAGAGCTGAGACAGGAGTATCACTTGCCAGATGGGAGCAATGCAGGTGGGGGCAGAGACATGGGATATTATATCCAGTTACTGGTAGCATGCAAGAAAAGTAGGAAGCATAGAATTCAGAAGACCAGCTATCAACATATCCCACCCAGCATCATTCCCTGCCAATCCCACACACTCTGAAAACGGTACCAAGCACATGCCACTGTGATTATGTCCTTCCCCTGGCACAGCTGGGCTGGGTCACAGAGAATGCAGGCTGCTGCCAGGGAATTGCACACAAAAATGAGCTCACTATCTGCAATCCAGCAGATACCTGAGGAACATAACTGAAAGAAGTGATGAAGAATTTCCACTCAAAGAAGGAGAAGCCAAAGAGCAAATGGAAAAAGCAGCCAAAAAATAATTACTATCCTTAGAAAGACAGAAGGGGAAAGCACATCCATGAAAAAAAAGTTACAAAAAGATCCAAACTGATTAAGAAAACAATTTTTTTAAAGATTTATTTATTTGAGAGAGAGAGAGAAAGAGGGGGAGGTGGGGGAGAGGGAAAGAATCTCAAGCCAACTTCCCACAGAGTGCTGAGCCCTATGCAGGGCTGGATCTCACAACTCTGAGACTATGACCTGAGCCGAAATCAAGAGTTAGACGTTTAACCGACTGATCCACCCTGGCGCCCTGGGAAAAGTTTTTGATATAAAATGTTCATTAGAAGAGCTGAAGAGACTAACTGAGGTGCAAGTTTCAGAGAAATACATGGAATGGAGGAACTTGCCTAGAACTACAACAGGAGGAAGAAATGAAAAGTATAAAAAAAAAGTTGAGAGATGAGAAAAATACAACTGGAAGTTTCATCATCTAAGAAAAGTTGCATATGAAGAGACCACATGGTAGAAAAGAAATACCTGAAGAGCTGAGAATTTCCTAAAACTAAAATACCCAGATAGCGATAGAGCAAAAAGGCCTATCAAGTACTAAGCAGGATAAATAAAGGAAACACAGACATGCACATATGTGCACATATATCCCTAGACATATAGTGAAAGTGCAGAAATATTAAGATAAACAGAACTCATAAATGCAATAAGAAAAAAAAAACACTGTAAAAGACTCAAGAATCAGAATAACCTCATACTTCTCATCAGCACCACTGGGTACAAGAGAACAATGAAGCAGTATTTTGGAAGGACTGAAGAATTTTGCACTGAGGATTTTGTGTCTAGCCAAACTATCAGCACTTATTATGGCAGAAAAAAGACAATCTTGGACATGCAAACACCTGAAGTTTACCACTAGTAGTGATTCAATGACATAGCAGGAATATTCAAGTAGTAATGTTGAAAGAGGAAATTTTTACAATTTACTATTTCTCAAATAAGCAATGAGCAGAAAAAATGTTATCTACTAACAGTCTAAGTTAAAGGAAAGATAACAGCAACATGAGCAGCCAGGAGCGGGAGTCAGAGAAACGTAAAAATAGGATTAGGTTCTATAACTTGTTCAGGAAGAAAAAGACTCAAATTGATTCCCCCCCTCTAAGTTAATGTGTTAAAGTGTATGTTGAAATCTAAAATTGAGAATGAGAACTATTAGAGGGAAATGTATATGGATGTACAGACACAGGGAAACGTCTGGGAGGGCCATGGTTTCAGTAATAATGAACCGCTCGTGCTTTTCCTCACATGCTCCTATAGGTCCAAATGCACTGCTTGTGTCTTCCTCCACAGCATGAGTACTGCCTTCATCTAACCCTCTCCAAAAACCTTCAGAATTCTCCTTGCCCCCACCACTGATCCCAATGTATGATAAACAAATTGCTATGACAGCACCTACAACACTTATTTAAACTGGTTGTTGACAAAACAATCTTGTTCACTAGACCTAAGTTCCTTGGGGACTCCTTGCTTCTATATTCTTTACCACCATTGTTGTTATTCAGTATGTTTGCTGACTGGATGGATATAAAGGCAACTTGTACATTTAAAACAGTTAGTGACTAACAGAGATTGTATATAACCAAGGCTATAAATGATTTAACTACATTAAATCATAAATTTAAATTAATGTAGTTAAATCATTTATTGTGAGAGAGTAAGAACCATGTCTAAATAATGATTACGTCTGTGTTAAAGTCATCTCTGCATCTCCTTGTTAAGTTTAGATATCAGCGAAGATGAACTAGATAATATTAAAGTTATTCTTAGAGCCTTGAGATAGAAGACACCTTAAAAGACTGTGTGACTGACTGCTCCTGAAATCATACTACACCTGCAGAAGCTCTATGTCTTCACGGTTTTCAGATCCAGGAATATTCTCCATCAATATGGCGGACATCACTCTCACATTCATTTTCACCATATCCAATTCACTGTGCAATTTTGCAATCTGTGGGGAGCAACACAATCACAAGTGTGACACGAAGAATGGTTACCTTGTTTTCTGTTACCAAGGAGATATTTGCTAGTAGAGAAAAGGGTTCTGCGAAATTTAATGTTTTCAGATTTATGTAAATATCTAATTGTTTTATAAATGTACAATCTGTTACCTTCTAAAAGGACTTGAGATCTCATGTAATAAATTTCTAGATTTATGCTAGAAATGTGCTCTAAGAAAGTTAAAAGTGAAGGGAAAAAAGATTAGAACCAATACGGAGAAGGGAGAAGGTGACTATAGTGGGAACCTAGACAAAATGGCAAATGTTAGTGGCAAAACCAATAGAAAAAAAAAAAGAGCATTTTCTAGTTCCCATGGTGTTAGAAAAGGAAAAAAAAAAAAATCAAGAAAAACACTTTTTTTCTTTTTGCACTGAATTCTAAGAGGAATCAATCACATGGATTTTTATAGAATACTGAATAATAATACAGTCAAATGACAGTTCCTTCAGCAGAACATAAATAAGCGTCAATAATAACTGATTAGCTGGACCTCTGATAAACAGATATAAACAAAAAAAGTAAATGTAAGTCAGTTGGTACAATTAATATTAGTAATAAGGCTACCACTTACTGAGCTCCCTGAAACGAGATATGGACAGTCCTATCAGGAGTAACAGGAATCAGTTGGTTGATACAAAATCCATTCCACAGCCCAGCCTCCACAATGACAAAGCCACTAACCAAGGACAGTGGTTAAGAACTTGGGCTTTAGAATCAGACAGAATCCATAGGATTCATTCTACTTAGAACTGAACTATGATCAGTCACATATTATCACTAAGCTTCAGTCTTCTCCTCTATAAAGTGAAGGTGATAATGTGCCTCCACCTCCTAATGTTAAGAAGGATAAACAAACTGTAGGGGCACCTGGGTGGCTGAGTTGGTTAGGCATCCAACTCTTGGTTTCGGTTAAGGTCATGATCTCAGGGTTGTGAGACCGAGACCCATGTCAGACTCTGCTCAGCATGGAGTCTGCTTGGGATTCTCCCTCTCCCTCTGCCCCTCCCCCTGCATGAATGCTCACTCATGCTCTCTCTCAAATAAATCACTAAGTAAAAAGAAGAAGAATAAATAAACTGTATATGAAGTGCTGATAAGTTAGAGTGAGTCATCAATAAATACAGTTGTCACTGTTGTTACCTGTTCTGGGACCAGTGTAAGAGTAGAGCTCTTGGGAACAATTACAGAAGGAAGAGCTGGTGCGGTAGGAACAGAGGTTGGTAGATTCGAGGAGATCTGAGTGGCCTATCAATGTGAAATATGGAAATATTACTACTGGAATAACACAGCCACCCCAAGCCCAGTTTTTCCACTTAGATGGCTCAATCACTTCTCTCAACCAAAGGTCCTGGGGAGAGGGTGTTGGCCCAGAGTCAATCATCAAGTGTGCTATGTGCCCAGCATTTTTTGAGAAGAGTGCTAATAGTGTGCACGTAATATAGTGAGTATTCAATAAAAGGTGGCTTTTATAATTAGTAACTAAATTACAATTTAATAAAGTGCCCTTAGTTTATCCAAGGATCTGCAAGATAAATTGCCACGTGAGATTATTGCTGCCCTCTCTTTAGGTTTTTAAAAAGAAATGCTAAGTCAATTCATATCAAGTCTTTTTAGGCCACAACTGGCAAGATACCTCCTTCTCCCCTAAGGAATGCCTCTCAAAGTCAATTCCTCATTGCCAACTTTGAGCAGAGAACCCGAAGCACAGGGCTCAGGCCAGAGTTTTGACATTAAGGTCCAGAGAAGTCACCTAGAAGTCTTGTAAAAATTAGGAGTTTAATTTAGTAGATTCCAGTGGAATATGCCTAACAAGCTTCCATATTATATATACCCCAAATCACATATTGAGTAACAAGGTCCTACACCACCACTATATTATGCCTTGAAAGAAAGACTAAAAGAGGCATGGTGAACAGACTCATGGCAGGTACGAGGTTGGGGCAGGTGGCTAGTGGCCAGGGAACAAACTGTACAAGTAGAAGAGTTAGCTTTCTGGACAAAACCTCCACAAAGATGAGACTTCTGGTATACACCTGAACTGCTTTTCCATCAAGCCAGGACTCACCAATCTACAGAAGGGAAGAATGCCTGTTTTCACACTTATGGAAATTACAGAGTTAAGAGCTGAACTGTAATTAGTACTCAAAGTATTACAAGTTCAAAACCTTATTTGCAAAAATTATTATTAATACAAGACTCCCCGTGGTAGAGACCCTTGCCTGTCTAGCATGACACCTTTCTTTTGAAAACTGCCCCCTCCTCTGCTCTATCCAAATGATTTCCAGATGGAGCCACCATCTTCTTACATGACCTCAGTTAATTTGTTCTGAAGTAGGAAACCAACCCAGATTGGTCCCTTTTCCAAGGTTTTTGAGCTTGGAATCTGAAAAAGCTAAAGCTCTAACATGAAAATTTAAGACCTATGTTATCTACTATGTGGGAAAAGCTAGTCTGCAATGAGAGACAAGTCATATTTGAGTGGTTTGTTCTCTGTTGTTTCAAAGATCCAGTGAACATCAACCTTCTTGTGGCTTGGTTATTCTAGGAGATATTACAATGGCCTTCTCATAAATCCATCTTTTTGCGTAGATTGGACAGAGGCAGGGTTGTCCCTTTCAAAGAGAGAAGACTTAATATACTATCTAATTCTGTATGAGCTCAAGAAAGTCATCCTACCTCTTGTCTTGCTGTTTCAGCCTCTGCATCTGAGGGAGGAAACTGAACACCTTTCTTGAGAAGGTCAAGGTACACTTCTTTCACTTCGCTGACATCCACACCTCCTGGGAAACCTTGCGACCAAGTCTGAATTCAAGAGATGGGTCCAGAGTTAAAACAGCAGCAAAATCAAAACACAATTTTTAAGCTGGTGACAGAAAATGAGAGATTGACAATTATGTATCTTACTCAGAGAGCTGGTTTTGAATGTCACAGACAAAAATGTATGTTTTCAGAGACTAGAAAAACAATATATTTTTAATCATCAAATTCCCATGCCTCAGCATTTTAAAGAAAGGCTGGAATAGGTATTGTTTTTTTTGCTATACTGAATCCAGAATTAATAGACAGATTCTAAAATACCATCAGTAGTTCCTTTGCCAAATAACTTTGAAAGCAGTCCGCTGTGTACTCTAGAACATAGTTTGTCTGCCAAATAAATGTACACATTACTCTTTTTCTTACCTGACATGAATAAGATAGAAACAGAGAAGTAGGAAGATAACTACAAATTCTTCAGAAAAAGGGCACCATGCCATACCAAGAAATTATTATGACTCGGAGAATGAAAGAGTAAAATGCTCTCTGGCTTGATCCTAGGTCTGTAAAGGATCACTAAGCCTATTGGGAGGTACATAATTAGAGCTCCCATCTTAGAGGTCTACCATCCCATAAAGCATACAATAGACTTACCTTGATGAAATTCAAGATTCTATGCTGAATGTCTAATGGCAAGGTGTATCTGGGGTTCAGAAGCTTAACCAGACTATCTTTAATGAATTCCTTCTTCACAATCAGAGATTGGAAACTTGGACCACAGTTCTGCATGCACATGTCAATAAGCTAAATTAGACAGAAAAATTAAAATTTAATTATATCTCTGGCAAAAACCACCTCCTAAATATAAGGTAAAAATTGCTAAGTAATGATTTCCACCAGCATTCCAACTAAACAGGATTTAGTGTCTACTAAAATCGATGGCAAAGCATTAGGTTCTGGGAATGTGAGGAAGTATGTAAGGCATGAAGGAATGGTCTGGATGATAAATTACAGAGTCATCCTCGTTACAAATCTTTAAATTATCACCAAGTGATAATTTAGGGCCAGGTGGTCTTAAGACTTTCAGTGAAAGGTGGTCTTAAGCTGGCCTTTAAATAATAGCTAAGTACAAAGGAGTATAGAGCTATATTCCAGGCAGGTAAGTGGTATTTAAATGAATGAGTGAATGAATGAATGACAAAGCATTTAAGTTATCAGGAGGAAAATGAGTACTGTGGTTTGTAGGGGATTCTTCATGTAGGCAGACTGAGACACTGAGAAGGTGGTGTGGATAAAGTATGGAGGGGCATCATGCAGACTGTAGAGAAATGCATGGCAGTGAATGGGAAGAGTTTGGCCACTGAACTAAGAAGCCAGTAAAGGGTTCTTGTTAGTTTGTCACCATCATACCTCTATTCTGAACTTGAGAGAAAGGTTAAGGACTGCAAAGTAATACTCTAGGAAGGTTTTCAAGCAGCACTCTACAAAGGGGACCCGGAAGGATGGAGAATCCAGTAGGGACCTACTAGTCCTAGACCCACTAGAACCAAGGCAGAAAGGCCTAAACCAGGGAGATATGGGTGCAAGGGAAGGAAAGACAGGAATCACAAAGGCAGAACTGTACAACTGACATGTGGCAGAAAAGGATGGCTGGGGCGCCTGGGTGGCTCAGTTGGTTAAGCGACTGCCTTCGGCTCAGGTCATGATCCTGGAGTCCCGGGATCGAGTCCCACATCGGGCTCCCTGCTCGTTAGGGGGTCTGCTTCTCCCTCTGCCCTCTTCCCTCTCGTGCTCTCTCTCTCATTCTCTCTCTCTCAAATAAATAAATAAAATCTTTAAAAAAAAAAAAAAAAAAAAAAAGAAAAGGATGGCTGAATGTTATGCCGCTGTTATTCTGCAGATTGATGGCACCTTGGATGGAAATTTGGAAGTGGACGGAGTTGCAGGCTTGGTCTGGGGTAAAAATGAGGCGATGAATTTTATTTTTAATTTTTAATTTTTATTTTTTGAGAGAGAGCGAGCATGAGAGCAGGGCAGGGTAGGAGCACAGGGAGAGGGAGAGGGAGAGAGAGAGAGAATCTTAAGCAGGCTCCATGCTCAGCTCGGGGCTTGGTCTCACAACCCTGAGATTCATACGGCTTAACCAACTGAGCTACCTAGGCACCCCGATGAGTTGAATTTTAGATATTTTGAGTTTCACAGTACTATGGACTAAATGTCTGTGTCCCTCCCAAATTCATATGTTGACATTCTTAATCCCTAATGTTGAGGGTATTTGGAAGTGGGTCTTTTGAGAAGTAATTAGATCATGAGCGTGTAGCCCCGAGGAATGAGATTAGTGCCCTTATAAAAAGGCACAAGAGATGATCTCTCCTGGCTGTGTGAGGATGCAATGACAAGAAGGCCACCTATAAGCCAAAAAGTGGGCTCTCACCAGACATTGGATCTGCTGACACCTTGACCTTAGCCTTCATAGCCTCCAGAACTGTGAGAAGTAAATGTCTGTTGTTTACACCAGCCAGTAGGTGGTATTTTTGTAATAGCAGCCCAAGATGATGAAGGCAAAAGAGATGGTGGGACATTCAAGTAGCGATGTTTAACGGAGCTATCCACGCACAGCTGCAGTTCAGGAGGGAGGGAGCCTAACATGAGAAACCAAGGCTGCGTGTGAGGAGCAGGGAAGAATGGCTAGAACACTGGGGGTTCACCTATCACATCGGCCAGAAGAAACTCCATGAAGGCAACCAGAGAGCAACCAATGGAAACTGAAGCATAAAATATAGAGAACATAACATTGGGAAAGTCAAAAGAGGGCAGTTTCTATAAGGATCGTGTGTCAAAACAGCAAAGGATGTGAATGGAGAAAAACACAGCTAGGTTTGTCAGTTAGTGGGGTCATTAGGGTTGGGGGGCATTTTCAATTAAGCAACATGAGCAGAAGTAAGGCTAAGAAGAAAGGAGCTGGCATTGAAGAACTGCATGCAGAAAGCAGATTTCTACAAGTGATCTAAAAACAAAGTTAAAACTCCATTTTCCGTGCTGCCACTTCTCAAGTAGAGAGGTCACAGAAACCCATAATGGAACCAGGAGAGGTATGATCATCTCTGCAGAAAAGCAGCCCTGAAAATGGATGCTCCACCCTGCTCTGTACTGTGTCACTAGAAGGGCAATACAAAAAGAAGGTATGAGAGCTGCAGTTTTAAGGGCAATGTGGCTAAGAAGGCAAGCAGAAAATACAGAAACTGAACACATGCGGCTAGTTATCTGAAACACAGCAAATATTGATTTTTAAAGACCTACTTATTTGAGAGAGAGAGTGCACGAGCTAGTGCACAAGTGGGGGGAAGGGGCGGAGGGAGAGGGAATCTCAAGCAGACTCTGCTATAAGTGCAGAGCCCAATGCGGGGCTCAATCTGAAGACCCTGAGATCACGACCTGAGCCGAAACCAAGAGAGGGACACTCAACTGACTGCACCACTCAAGCGCCCCTGAAACACAGGAAATATTTAAAGCGAAGGAAAATAAAAACAAAATCCCAAACCTATTGAGATGAATATTTTAAAGCAAGTTGTTCAGAGAAAGTTAAGTTGAAAAGTTGAATAATGAATGACTTTTGCTGGATGCATTATGATGAGTTATTAGGTGAAATACGGAGAGGAAAAGAACCCCTAGTTCAATGGGAATTTACAGAAATACTTCATCCAACCCATTAGGCAGTCTCATTAGGCAAGACAGCCTCCAAGTCTCACTTTCTCTAATGGTGAAACGAATGGGGAGTTTCTTGCTAAATATTTCACAAACCAATTTTTATCTTTGGATCACTGAGATTTTATGGTAATGGGTAACATTCCCAGGAGGTTACATGCATAAAATCAGAGCATCAACATGAAATGCTGAGAAAGTTAACATCTGGAGATCACAAATCATGGCCCTTTGTGTTTTCCCACTGGAAGCTAGAATTTCAGGACTAATTACTTCTAGCTCACCTCTTTCATTATATCACCGGTACCTCTTTCACCCCAGAGTCCACAGAGTATTGTGGCAAATTGGAAGAATTAATATGTTGCTTTTACACATTTTGAAATTGGGCTTTGGTATGATTTAGGTATTCAGATTGTGTTCAGATAACCTATCTTTGGAAATAGGAAAACCAAGACACCATAATCTCAGGGGGGATAGGGAACCTAGAACCCAAGGGACCAAGAGAGATTAAAGAGAGTAAGACTTCAGGCCTCACTAATCTCTGTTTGTGCTGGACTCGGACGCTGCTTATCGTTCTAAGCCTCAGTCTTCTCATCTGCAAAATGAGCCATAATATCTCCCTCTAGAGACTTCTTGTAAGGCCTAATGAAATATAATGCATATGAAGAGGCGGACATGGTGCAGGACCTTAATAAATGGTAACTATTTTGATCATCTGTTTCCATGGACAATTTCCTATCAGGAGAGAATCTGTTTAGCTGATATAAGTATTCTTCTTAGAAAGACTGGAAAAGGAGCCACTTGGTAGTTTTAGTTCTTGCAATAAATTTCTGAACCAAGCACAGTAAACCAGGCTTTGGGGCCATCTAGAGTTGAAGACCCCACCAAGGTATGGCCATGCCAGGGGATGAGCTCACTCTACAATGAGCTCGTGGAGGAATGGACACATACTACACAAATTCTGAAGCCCCTACAGCTCACCACCTAGGTGGTGGTCCACAAAGGCCTATTAATTAATTGATTTCCAGGAACCTGTTCAACAGCTTTCCACTTGACAATGATAATATGTCTTGCTGAGACTTATCACAATTGACTCATTCAAAGGGTTAGCCTCTGGCTAAGAGTTATGAAGCTTGGTAACAAATTGCTTTTTAAAAAATAAAACTACTGGCTTCTTGACAAAACTTCTCCACCAACTGATGGTAGGAAATCACAGTGTAGTCCAATCCCATCAAATACCTGACTAAGGCTAACAGGTCCGTGGAGAAACCAAATGACACATAATTCAAAGAACATTTATAATTGACTTTGACAGGCTCTCATCACTTCAGAGTAATGAAATGGAAGTGTCATATATGGAGATTCATTTTTAAAGAACTGATTGGTAAACATTTAATTGCTTTGATAGACACTGGATGATTCTTTCTGTGATTCACTTCTCTCATAATTAGGTCTTGCTTAAGTTAATATTAAAGTCCATTCTGAAGCCAAAAACACCTCTGCAATGCAGTGAGTAGTCAGAAGTGAGGGGACTGGGCAAATATGCAGGAGGCTATCAAGAGTCAAAGGCCTATTTAAAGAAAACCCAAGAAGTAGGTACCTTAATGAACTCTGACCCTAACAGTGAGGAGCTATTCTGATCCCCAACCCATGACTCTCCCCCCCTTATTTTGGCACAGGTTTTAGATTTGTTTGTTCTCACATTCTGGCATGGAAAACACAAGGTGGAAGATGTACAGTTATCTGAGGTGGGGCAGGTAATAGGAACGGGCAGCTGGTACAGCTAGCTAGTATGGCTTGAGAGATCAGACTACCTGAAGGGAAGAAGAATGGGGACCCAAAGAGAAATGGAGGGCCAGAAGAGACAACACTCTAGAATAACGCCGCTTCCTCAGGAAAGGGTCCCAGCTCAATATCAGAAGAAGGAACTAGGATAGAGAAAGATAGAGAGATAGGGTAAGAAGCAAGCACAGAAATGCCAAGAAGGCTGGGTACCACAAGAAAAAGACACACCCACTATACAGAATAAACAACAGAATAAACATAGGTGGTGTAAATTCATCTTCCATCCTTATCTTCTTCAGTCAATTCTCCAAACCTTCAGCAGCCTTGAGATAGCCTAGATCCCCTCCATTTTAGGGCACAGCTACATCGCTTTCTATCCCAATTCTACATTACATTCCATTAGCCCTGGAGTCTTCCTGGATACAAGGAGAGTGGGATGGGGGCTGAAGGACAATCGGCTCAGTCCCTGATACACTGATGTACTGAGTTTTGCACCAGGTACTAAGGAGTTGAAGACACCAATGAAACACAGTCGTTCTTCAGAGGAGATTGATCCATTCTGAGAAGCAAAGTGGTATGGCGTAAGGGCCTGGGATTTAGAATCTGAGGATTGAGTTGAAATCTTGCCTATGCCTCTTAAATAATGGAGGAAAAGAAAACCCCACAACCTCACTGAGTCTGTTTCTTCATCTGTGAAACAGAGTTAAGAATAGAACTACTCCACAGGGTTGTCAAGAGCATCCATTAGGTACCAAAGGGTTTTCCCCCATCATCGACCCATGGTTCTGGTAGTTCTACTTTAGTGCTTACTCATCTCTCAAGGGTGGGACCTCCCCTGAGGTGGCTGCTATGAATAAAGGACAAGGGAGAGGTTTTTTTAAAAAAAAAAAAAAAAAAAAAAAAAAAAAGAGGTAAAGGAGGAAAAGGCCTCTAAAACTATGTCCACATCCTAACTTGAGGGGTTTCTTCAGAGATAGTGTCAAGACCATTTAATTCATTTCTTCTCATTCTGTTAATCTCCAAGCAAGAGGTGAGTTTTCTTCCCCATGAAACTCAAACACTGGAGTTGTGTGTACCTCAGCCCCATAGTCCTCTGGATGAACACTCCCCGAGTCCCTCAGCGGAGGGTGATGCTGGCTGGTTAGGGCCCTAACCTTGTGGCCTGGGGCCTGGCTGAGGTAAACAAAGGCATGCGGGAGAAATGAGAATGTCATATGGCTCACTCTCAGGCATCAGGCAGGGCTGGCAAAACATACCATAGTAAAAATGGCAACTCACCGAAATGACTGAAGATGTCATATGGCCGAGGATGAGGGGAAAAACGGGAACGCATCCAATAAGTGCCCACACCCGAGTCACAGACAATAAGGTGTACAGCACTGTTTAAATCAACAAAGAACGGTCTCCAAATTATACTACACAGGAGAGCTTGGTTGAAACTTAAGGAGCTGCCAGCACCTCAGAATTCCACAGAGCTGTTCAAGTAAGGTAAAAAGCTGACAGGGAAGCATTTTTCAAGACTTCAGTTCTCCTCATGGGTAACACATACACAGACTTCTTGACTCGTTCAGTATCTACAAGTTTTGTATTACCAGTTCCCATCTCCTGACCAGGAAAAGCTGACTTTCCAGGAACACACTCTTTCCACAAAATAAAATGCTATGACAATCAGCAAAACTCTCCCAATTCTGTAATTCTCAGTTTTAATTCATACTCAAAATAGATTTTTGCTAATATTTTTTTTTAACCAAAAACTAAAGATGTGTCTACGTCTTAGGAAATCCTGGTCTTGATTATAACATTAAAAGTACTTACTGACAAGGTGAGTTGGATTTCTTTATGATTGTAGTTTTTCGAAATCCTTTTCTTCAAAGCTTTTACTGCATCTTTTGGCCTACAGCAATAAATACAGTGAAATCATCAATTTAGGCATTGCTGAAAATAAGTGGTCTCTGAAAAGCAATGTACATTGTGGAAAGAGAAGTGGCTAAAGAGAAGACCAAGGCCCTGATTCTGCTTGAGCAGATTACTTAATTTCTCACACGTGTTTCCTCATACATCTAGACAGACAATACTATCTACTCCCTTGAGAGAATCAAGTAGAGTATTTACATAATAGTATTACCTAGAAAGCACTACATGTGAAATGCACTCATATCCCTAACCCTCTATCAATGCACAAAACTGGTTTACAGGAAATGTAATTCCCAAAACAATGAAGGTTACCATTTTTGATTAAGACTATTTCCCGAGCACCCTCCAGGGTAGGTGATGCAGGAGGAATTATGACTAATTAGGTCAGCTTCTAATAGACTACCATTTTACATTATAAAAGAAAGACTTATGTAAAAGTAGAGGATCGAAATTTACTTTGAGGTGGTCAAAAGGTACAAACTTCCAGTTATAGGATCAGTAACTCCTGGGGACATAAGATATAATATGATGACCATAGTTAACACTGCTGTATGGTATATTTGAAAGTTGCTAAGAGTAGACACTAAAAGCTCTCATCACAAGGAAAAAAAATTTTTTTTGAAACTATATGGGGTGACAGATGTTAATTTATTGTGGTAATCATTTTATAATACATGTAGGTCAAATCATTATGCTATACACTTTAAACTTATACAGCGCTGTATCCTAATTGTAGCTCAATAAAACTGAAAAAAGAATACAAATCCTTTTTACATACTACCTTCCAATTTTGTCTGTGTTTGCATGGGTAGAATTTTTATTATATGACAATTACACATGTTTACATAGAATTACAACTATTATAAATATATAATTATATTTCTAAAAAATCACATATAGAATCTAGTATTAAACTTTTAGAAAGGTTTAAGAATAAAGATACTTTTTTGAAAGGAAAAACTTTACTTTGAGATTCCTTTTTGTATTATCAATGAAAAAATTAGTATTATCCATGAAGAAAAGTTTCAGAGGATCCAAGATTATAGGGAAAACACCATAAACACCTTAAAGTACTAACCTTAATACACTCAATTAATATAGTCAACAATTAAGTGTAATGTTTTCTTCGTCAACAACCAGCATAAACTAGACCAAATCTTTTTGCTATCAGTTACCGCTTGAATGTGCCCAGGATAATTAACAGAATTGTATCCTTTATAACAACCTGTAATTCAGACTAAAGTCACAAATAGTTGGCCTTACTGATTTTTTTTTAAATATATCAAAAAAGGAAACATCAAATTTAATTTAAAGGAAAAAAATCAGAAATTGTCTGAGAAAACAACAGAACAAATCAATTCCTGAAAAAAAAAAAAAGTTCTGCATCTTGGTGATCACATTTATTGAAAGGGTTGGAAAAAAATTAAAATGCCCTTTAGCTTAAGAATTTTTTAGTTATCCGCAAATCAACTTGTTTCAGGAGTGGAAGAATCCTTGGTCATTTCTTAATATCAAAATTTACGCAGGTTTCTCTTTTGAATGTCTTCTACATTTAAAAAGGCAATCATACAAAAGCTCCTATATTCCATACATGATAAATTCTTTGTTTCAGCCAACTCTTAATGGAGGGGCAACTAGTACAACACCATCTCCCCGGACAAAAAGCACTGGAGTATTCTGTTTTGTTGATTTATATATCTCTTCGTATGTTTCCTCATCAATTTCTTCCACATCTCCCAATATCATATTTAAATGCTGATCATAAGCACGTAACCTGCCTCGAAGCTCTCTGTCATTTCTCATTTTCACATAAATTCGCTCATCCAGGCTGAGCCTGATGAGATCCAGGGGCTCTTCTACAGTGTTGGTAGTTTGTTGCTGGTCCACGTTGTCCGCCATGTTTCAAACCCTGCGCCCTTTCCCCTGGCCTTACTGATTTTTTTTAAAGCTTTAATTCCCTAAAGTTTAAAAAGTATAACAAAAGACAGCACATCACTGAAGAACACAGCATGAAGGTGGGCGAGTTGACATTAAGAAAAAATTGTCTTATAACGAGAAAAAAAAAAAAGACTGCTTCATTATTTCCTGGTTAATAATGACAACTGCCCAGGACAGGTCACCACCAGCAGTTCATGAGCTTTTGGATAGTATTTTTCACTTACGGTAGCATAAAATACTGGCTATCAGAGCAGAGGGAATTTCTAAAGAAGGAAACAATTCTGCTTTCTTTAAAGAAAAACGAATTGGAGCTTCCCAAAGACAAAATTTAAAAACTATTAAAGAAAAGGCAAAGAGAAAAATGATAATGCATTCTCAGATATTCCACATGCTGAAATAAGCAGCTGTCTTTATGTTTCAACCAGACATGTCTTCAAAAGATAGTGGTGTCCAAGGTGGGATGAAAACACTCAACAAGAAAACCAGAGTCTAAGAGAAAATGTGCTGTGGTTCTGATGCTTCTTATCAGAGGCAAATGCGTGCACCACACACTGTACTCACCCATCGTGGGCAGTGTTAATTATGTCACAGATGTGCATAAACTGGCCCCAATCTTCAGTCTGAACTCCAGCAAATGTAGCCTTTTCTGCAAAGAAAAAGCTGTTGTGTTGAGTCTGAGCTACAACAGAATAAAAAATGTCTGGTCTTCCTGAAATAATCTGCCTGGGGTTCACTAGCAAGTATCATTAAGTTTATATTACCAAAAGGCAAAGAGATTTTTTTTTCCTGAGCAATTCCCAGTAATTCCGGAATCAATCAGAACTCAAGTTCAGAGTGCTGCCATTACAGCAGTAATGAATGATCTATTATAAAAGCTGCAGGCACAACATCGGGCTGTAGGGCCACGATGGGTCGGCTAAATCTCTGTCTGCTGGCCTGTCTCCCTGAAGACAAGAACCTATTGAGCGGCCACCTACAAACCCAAGTGCAAAGTATTTTATCTTATGCAACTTCATTTAACCCACTGTTATAGATGACGAAACAGAAGTTCAGAAAAGTTAAGAAAATTACCCAAGGCTACACAGCCAGTACAAGGTAGAACTAGCATTCAAATTTAAGTTATTTGATGTCTGTTTTTGTTTTTTTTAAGTCATTTATTCTTGGGGGGGGGGGCATGTCGAGAAAGAGAGAGATCAGAACTACTGAAATTGTCTGTGTCCTTGAGCATTAAAGCAAGGTCACTCCCAGCACCTGTACTAACCAAAGCTGCACTAGGCAGACTTGAATGCTTCTGCACCTGGAACCCCATCAAACAATTAGATATTTTCCCCTCTCCACACATTCTCCTTAAGAATACAAAATGCCATCTGGGAAGAGTAAAAGAACACAACCTAAATGAGCTCAATGTATTTCCTTCATGAAAGGAGAAGATCCTCAGCATGAAAACAGGAGGTCTAGGGGGAATGGAGAGAAAGTTAAAAAGGATAATGAAGAGGAACAAAGAATAGGGTTTGGTTGGGTGAACCCCAAAGCTTAGCCTGCTTCCAATCTAGGAAAAAAGCTATTTGAATTTGGCATTCCATGGACAAAGCTAACTGTTGTTTAGACACATACTGTTGTTCCTTCTGCCAAATTCCCTGCTCTCTATTCCCTGTGCTTCCTCCCACCTTCCCATTTTAGAAAACTCCTATTCACCCTTCAAATTTATCCCTTGAGTGTTTTGTGGTTTCCTTGTATTGCAAAGGTACCGTACTGTAGTTACTACCTGTGTCCCTCTTCCCTACAAGATCGCACATTCCCTGAGGGTTGAGACCATGCCTCATCTTTGCCTCATCCAGGTCCAGGCATATAGCTGACAGCAAATATTTACAGCATTAAATAATTCATCAGCCTATGAAGAGGCAATCTGAATCTATTTCCACTCAAAGTTCATTTTAATATCCAATAGGGATACAGCCGGCAACAGTTTAGAAAGCATTTCCCCCTTAGTGATAGTTACTCTCACCCACTTCTAAAGATGGGGGGGAATCTTACAAGGGTCAGGTCGAGTGGCGTGTTCCCTGTTAACCGAGCTGCAGGCAAGACTGTCCAAATCGGAGTCTTCTTACTGTAACCACCAGGTTCTCAGGATTTTGTCACCCCACTAAGTTCCTGACATTATCCGCTCTGCTTGGCATCCACGGGCACTGTGCCACACCCGGTTCCCAAGGCGGGTTTGGAGGCGAGGCGGAAGAAGGGAGACGCTGCTGGTAAAAAACAGTCCGGTCCCTGGTTTCTGCTTCCCACGACGTTATTCAGAGTACAGCCACGGAAGGAAGGACTTGGGCAAATACCTGCGTGGTCGCTCCAGAGCCCTCTTGTGACCCCAGACCGCTCCCCGGCTCCCCGCTTCCTTCACTCCAGTGCTGCGCATTTTCATTCTCTTTGTTTACCCAGAAAAAGTGACTCAGGTTGTTAAGGGCTCGACGCCAGCGAGGACTGGTTTCAAGGGACCTGCGTGTCACAGTGAAGTCACGTCTCTCCCTCTCCGGTAAAACAGACACAGCCACACCGGGCCCTCCAGCGGGCAGCGCGCTTGACGAACCACTTTCCCTGGCTCGGAGTTTACCCTTTCCCCTTGCACAGGCCCAGACGCTCCTCACCTGAATCCCGTGCGCGGTTCACCTGTTCGGTTCCACGCCCCAGGAAGCACCAAAAGGGAGGCAGATTTTGAGGAGGGGTTCCAAGGGGAGTCAGCCCTAAAGAAATGCCCCAAGGGGGGTGGGGTGGGGAGGGATTCGGGTGCTCTGCGAAAGTTGCAGGGGGAGGGGAAGGGCTGCCTCAAACTTGGACGAGGCCGGGAATGCAGTCAAGCGGGAAGGGCCCCGGGTCCCCAAAGCCTGCCCTGGCGTCTCCCTGCCCCGCTCTTTACCTATGAGGTGGCCCACGGAGGTCGCATAGGGATCCCGGTGACTCTTCCCAAACGCCATAGTAGCCCCACCGAGCCGGGCCCAGGAAATCCGCCTCCACCGCTCTCGGGCTCCCGACTCCACCCGCTCGGTGCCCCTAGCTCCTCCTCTCGCCCGGGCGCTTCCCGGGCTCCGCCGAGGCTGCGCGACCTGCCCGGCCGCTGCGGGGCGCCGGGCGGCCGGCGGGGGGCGGGGGGGCGGGGACACGGCGCCCGCGCACCTGCCACGTGCCCCGCGGGAGCGGCGAGAAGGCGGCGCTCCCCGCTGCAGGGGGCGCGGGCGGGCGGCGGCCGCCGCGTGGGGCCCGCGGGGGAACCGCGGGGCGCGCGCGGGCTGGGGACCGGTTGGGCTTGTCGTCCCCGGGGAGCCGGCAGCCCTGGGGTCACAGCCTGGGGATTAGAGACCCGTGCTTTGATGCTGCCGCTTACTGGGCAGGTTCCTGCTCTTCTCTGCGCCTCTTGCCCCCCTTTGTGGAGAAGGAAATGTGGGGTTAATAACACGGATCTCAGGATTATCGTGAGAATTAAGGATGTAAACCGCTTAGATCAGTGTCTGGCACCCACAAAATAAATACTTAACCACTGAATGAATTGAGTAACTAGAAATACTTCTTTTCTTTTTTTTTTAAGATTTTATTTATTTATTTGAGAGAGAGAGAACGAGAGAGAGCATGAGAGGGGGGAGGGTCAGAGGGAGAAGCAGACCCCCTGCTGAGCGGGGAGCCCGATGCGGGACTCGATCCAGGGACTCCAGGATCATGACCTGAGCCGAAGGCAGTCGCTTAACCGACTGAGCCACCCAGGCGCTCCTACCCCATAAGGATTTTTTTTTTAATTTTTTTTTTAAGATTTTATTTATTTGCGAGAGAGAGAATGAGAGACAGAGAGCATGAGAGGGGGGAGGGTCAGAGGGAGAAGCAGACCCCCTGCCGAGCAGGGAGCCCGATGCGGGACTCGATCCGGGGACTCCAGGATCATGACCCGAGCCGAAGGCAGTCGCTTAACCAACTGAGCCACCCAGGCGCCCCTAGAAATACTTCCTATCCCCACCCTCACCCCAGAGATCCTGAGGAGGTAGGTGTGTTCCTTGTCCTTTAAAGGAGGTAATATATGGGAAGAGGGATTGGCTTCGAATTTAGGGACGCCCCAGGAGCCGGCGTCCTTTGTCTCGCCTTTACTTCCTGAGGGACATCGGGGCGCCGCCTAGTAAGCTGTGGGTTCCTCACCCTCCCTCCCGGGAGTTATGTTTTCCAGTAAAGCTGAGGAGAGGAGAGGAGAGGGGCTTTCCTCCTGCTCCGGCAGGGAGTGTGTTTGGCCTCAGAACTGCTTTGGAATGTAAATCTGAGCCTGAGCAGTCCAAGCCCTTTCCAGCTGCCTTTCAGAAGCGGAATTTATTTCCTTTTCCTGTGCATTCAATTAACATCTGATTAGCCATGTTAACAATCTCCAGTGATGCCGAAGACTGCTAGAGTCGGGTGTCTCCAGGTGATGGCAATTAGCCATAAGATGGGCTTCCTGTCCCTCCAGACCTTGCTTTTTGGGTCAACTTGGGACATTTCTACAATCCCTTCTTTGGCCCTGGAAATGGTGACTAGAGAGATCAAAGAGGGCTTGTTCTGCCTTATGTCCTTAGTTTTACATTTTAAAAGAGACCTCAAAACCAACTGTAGTGGTACCAAGGGGTTAACGGACTTGTTTTTCCTGTTTCTGTTACTTTGAATTTTTCTTGACCTAAGTGAGCTAATATGGGATTCTAAAATTTAGAATGAAACATCTTTACTGTGATGGTATTCCTTATAATGAGTTTGGTCCTACCTGTAACTGATCTTCTCCACCTGCTTATCCAGGGTGAGTGGCTGTTTCAGATGGTGCCATTTATCCACTTCCTTAGGCATAACTACAGCCTGCTGACACTGTTGAAAAACCTCGTGACATCACCCACCTAATCTCCATTCCATGTTATAGATTCTAGGAAAATATTTCACCCTCTCTGAACCCTACAATCAAACAATCTTAAAGAGAAAGTCAACTTTAGTGTAGGCTGCTGGTGATGTCAGTGGCCTTCCAACAGGGATTGAGAACTAGGAAGGAACCAACCATCTGGGTAGATTTTTTTTTTTTAAGATTTTATTTATTTATTTGACAGAGAGAGAGCACAAGCAGGCAGAGCAGCAGGCAGAGGGAGAAGCAGGCTCCCCGCTGAGCAAGGAGCCCGATGTGGGTGGGGCTCGATTCCAGGACCCTGGGATCATGACCTGAGCCGAAGGCAGACGCTTAACAGACTGAGCCACCCAGGTGCCCCTGGGCAGATCTTTAACGTAATTCTGCTACTTATGTGAGAGGTGTTTTGTTTCGTTTTAAATTTTCTTGTTTTACAGAATCAGGCACTGAGAACAGGAGAAACAGCACCAAGAAGTGTATTCAGGATGTTATGGCTTCGTAAATGGAACCAGGATCTCAGCTATGCCTGGGGAGAAGTTTTTCCCTCCCCACGTGCATAGAAGGGTGTTGTGGTGGTTGCAGTCTTCTTTTTCTGAGCTCTGCCACTTTCTTCAAGATCCCTCTACTTCCCAGGGGTGCAAATCAGCTCAGCCAATGTTAACATGGTCTGGGAGCAGGACAGTAGAATTCACAACCAAGTTAAGGTCAGAGAAGGGGCAGAATCCCAGGAAGAAACAACGGTAAAATTTCTGGATACCAGGAGCAAAACTTTCACCAAAATTTCAATTGCAAAGAACACTTCTTTTTTTTAAAGATTTATTTATCCATTTGAGAAACTGAGTGGGAGGAGGAGCAGAGGGATAGAATCTTTAAAGCAGACTCCCTGCTGAGTGCAGAGCCCATGGATGTGGGGCTTGATCTCCAGACCCATGAGATCATGACCTGAGTTGAAAACCAAGAGTCGGCACTTAACCAACTGAGCCACCCAGGCGCCCCTCCAAAGAATACTTTCTAGGGGCACCTGGGTGGCTCAGTTGGTTAAGCGACTGCCTTCGGCTCAGGTCATGATTCTGGAGTCCCTGGATCGAGTCCCGCATCGGGCTTCCTGCTCGGTGGGGAGTCTGCTTCTCCCTCTGACCCTCCCCTCTCTCATGTGCTCTCTATCATTCTCTCTCTCTCAAATAAATAAATAAAATCTTAAAAAAAAAAGAATACTTTCTAAACATGTATTTATATATAAGTCATAATGCTAAGTGGAAGTAAAGAAAATAACCTTTATTTAAAATATGTGAAGTGGGGTGCCTGGGTGGCTCAGTCGTTAAGCATCTGCCTTCGACTCAGGTTATGGTCCCAGGATCCTGGGATCGAGCCCTGCATCAGGCTTCCTGCTCAGTGGGAAGCCTGCTTCTCCCTCTCCCACTCCCCCTGCTTGTGTTCCCTCTCTTACTGTCTCTCTCTGTCAAATAAAATCTTTAAAAAAAAAAAAAATATGTGAAGTACCTGGAACTAGAAATCTATCTGAATGTATTCTCCACAATCCTGAAGGCAAGTAGAATTCACTTTATTTTTATTTATTTATTTATTTTTATTTATTTTATTAAAGATTTTATTTATTTATTTGACAGAGACAGCGAGAGCAGGAATACACGCAGGGGGAGTGGGAGAGGGAGAAGCAGGCCTCCCGCCGAACAGGGAGCCCGATGTGGGACTCGATCCCAGGACCCTGGGATCATGACCTGAGCCGAAGGCAGACGCTTAAAGACTGAGCCACCCAGGTGCCCTCACTTTATTTTTACAAATATGTAATCTGAAATTAAGAAAAATAAAGTTAATACATAGCTTGGCTAGAGTTTGAATAATGGCTGCCTGATTGTAAAGTGTATATTGCCACTAGGTGAATCTGCTCAGTGAGCAAGACATCCCCCCCTTTTTTAAAGAATCTGTTTGATTGTAAGGGAAACCTCTCAGAGAAGATAGGAATAGGGGCAGTCATATACTTTGCTGGTACAGAGTCCTGTTGTTCTTTCTGTACTTCTTCAAGAATGCTGTATTTTCTGTACTAGAACTGTATGCTGTGTTCTAAATACATTACAAGCATCATCACTTAATCCTATCATAGCTCTATGAAACCAGTAACATTATTACTGTTTTACAGATTAGGAAAACCAAAGTAAACAAATTTTCACACAGTCACTTTGCTAGTGAAGGACTCTCTGATGCCCTTCCCAGTAAGCCATCCTTTTTCCCCCAACCCCTCACATTCAGGGAACTTCTCTATCCTACACTCCTTTTTCTGACTGCTATTTCTCACGATCTTCCCTGGACTTCATTTACCTCTCTAGCCTGCCACAGTTCCACAGTCTGCCTTTTCCTCTTTCTCTCTTTTTCCTCAGGGTGCCTTCTCCTGGTCCCTTCTCTATGAAGTCTTTTCTGACCACTCCCAAGGGAATTGAGCTTTTTCTTTCCTGTTCTACACATAGATTTGTGTCTTACAGCCCACAACACTTTATATGTCTTCTTTGTTTAGAAATCTGTTCCCTGCCTCTGAGACATAAGTCCCTCAAGGGAACAGGACCCTGTTTACTGGACTTGCTATCCAAGCATTCAACAGGCCTCAAGGAATGTTTATTGGATACATAAATGGCCCTCCTAAATCTTGAGCTTCTCTATTCTTTCTGAGATCCAGTCCTTAATTCCCTCCTGGATGCCT